CTTATTACACTGAGCCCTCTCCCTTGCTCTGTCCCTATCTTTTGTTGGAATACCCATTGCTATACATTTCCTGCATAGTTTTCTTTTGCTGCATCAGACTGGTTCTGATACACTTAGTGCTAATTTTAATGTGATTCTGGTGTAAGTTAGCCCACCTGGTTTCTTCAGTAACCAGGTAGGTTAAGAAATGTGCCGTTATAAACCAATTTTTAAATATATTTTCCCTTGTAGTTGATGTCTAGTTTCACACCATTCCATTATTATCTCAGAAGATGGATGTAGAAAATTATTTCACTATTTTTGAATTTACTAATACTTGTTTGTGGCCTCATATATCATCTATCTCATGGAGAGGTCTCCATTCTGGTAAAATTGCACATTTCCCATGTGCTTGATGGAGTATGTCCTAGATGTCTGTTATTTCTTTTGTCTGTGGTATGTTTTAACTCAGAGGATTCTGAATGTGATGCTGGTCTAGGTGATCCATACATTGGTAAGAATGTGGTATGGAAATTGTATTTACTATACTGAGAGAAGGCCTCAGTTCACAACCCTATTTTCTCAAGCTAAATAAAGTATATACAATTGCAAATAAAGATACAAATATAATGATTCTACTCCAAGGCTGAACTATTCATGATTACCTGCGTAGGAGATTCTGTGGACTTCTGGACCACTCACAATAGATTAAAGTTGTGTAAAATTTAGGAGATGAGCAGAGAATTTCTCGTGACACTTCTCAGGAGGAAATCCCTAGTAGCTATGTTTAGTTCACTTACACTAGATGGGGACTGTTGTACTTTAACATTTGCATAAAATGTACCTGCTATTCCTCTTGAAACAACTTCAGAGCCATTAGAATTTTGTCTGAGAACTCACCACCCCTGCAGGCCTGCACAATGATGACTTTGGGCTTGTCTCTTAGACCAGAGCAAGCGCGGTTGTTGAATATGTTGAAGATGGTGTCATACTGAAGCACATCTGGGGTTTTGTCACTATGCAGAGTTCCGCAGATCCCATGCAGGATGCCGTGAGACATAAGGACCAAGAAGGTGCTGTCAGAGGACTTGTGCTCTGGTTTGGCAGCAAATTCTCTCAGTTCTGACTCCATATCCTGGAAAAGGCCAAAGTCTTATTTTAGTAGGACTATTGATTTATTTATCCTTTTCATATATTTTTTTCAATCTGACCCACTAGACTTACTTTGAGTAGTACAGGAAACATAAAAATGTTCTGAACAAGGGGGCTGTACATAGTGGTACTCAATACTAATAATCTTCTATTCCTTCTTAATGGGTAATGGGTGCCAAGTTCACTGTGCTTCTTGATTATCACATATTGTCTACTCAATATATTGCATATTCACTGTTAGTCATATTAATTTTTCTATTATTTTTATCTTGTCCCCTTACCCAATGACAGGATTTTGTTATAAATGAATTTTGTTATATAGCTTTCCTTCTAAAACCATGTCCCTGTGCTAAGAATAAAATCCAGCTTCTGACGTGATGGTTTTCTATTTTGCAGCTATGCTTGTTTCTTCTCCAAACTCTGTCAGGATCTCCCTGTGTTCTTCAATGAGGGTATTCTTCTCAGTGTAGCCCTTATGTTGGGACTTCAGTCACTGTATTGTCAAGGCATTTCCCTCACATTTTTCCAGAACTATCTCGTTCCTAATGATCATGTCTCAGCAGCTATGTTACTTCACCTCAGAAATCTTTTCCAAGGAATTCAGACATTATTCCCAACTCTCCATTTTTCTCTCATGTTCTCACTTTTTATCACTCAAATACTTCTATATTTATACACCATTTCTCTAAGTCTATAGTTTTCTTATCAATGCAAAACAGATATTTCCCATTTTATTTGCACACATATATAGGCAGACAGGAAGAACCTCTGCCACAAAGAACTAAGATTTGTGTTATACACATCAAAGTGACACTCACTCCTCTGGAAAGCTCCTTGCCTGACTCCCAAACATTCCACTTTGAAGATCAATAAGAAATGTTGCACACTCATGCCTATGACTTTCTGGGCAGTTGCATGGAACTGAGGCTATCTGTTGTTCAAAAGAGTCATAGATACCGTTTCTCTAATTCCTTCATTTTGAAGAAACACATACACACACACATACACACACACACACACGTACACACACACGTACACACGCAGAGTCCCTGGGTGATTAGGGCTTCGCTTGACCACTGTAACACTAGGTATTTAGTGACGTGTGTGTCTTGGTTGCAGGTGATTGTGGGGGTGTGGCCCTCACCCGGGCTGTCAGATTCTTTTTGACAGTCACAGTGTAGTCCAAGTCCCCAAGCAGCTTCTCCATGCCTGTGATGTCCTGTTCGGCTCCTTCCCGTATACAGAGGTGGTCAAACTCTATATTGCATAAGATGAGAGCCTGACGAGTACGTTCATTTCTGTCTTTTATTGGATAGATCTGTGGAAAACGACATGCAAAGAATTTTATTTGTTTGATTTTGTTGAAAGCCCCATAGAACCGTGAGTGCTGCTTCATTAAGGTCTGACCCACTGCCCAGTTCCCAACTCCCCTGGAAGACACTGGCTGGCTCTCCTCTGCAAGCTCAGAGACAGATGCTACAATCACCTGGGATGATCAGTAAGCATACTGAGGAACATGCTGTCTTTCTCAGCTGTGCCTTAGCTTTCTCCAGCTAGTTAAATCTTAGAACTCAAGTTTCAGA